CTAATTCTTGTCCTGTTAAATTATATAAATTCATTTTATTATATCATTTGTTATAAATCAACTATTGATAAAAAAAATGAAAAAAAATTACCGTTAACCTGATCATAGGGAATCAACGGAAACTGGCAGGTTGGATAGCTAGGATTAGTTTGGATGCGAATAACTATACAATCTTCGTGAAATCTATGTCCGCAACAAAATTTAAAATCGTCATTTTGAAAGGTTTGCTGACATGCCATACAATTTGAACTTTCTGCCTTCATTCCTTTGACTGCCGCTGAAAAGTTTAAAATGTCATATCTATGTTAATTTATACGTGAGATGTTGAGTAAGATCTCTTCAATCTTCATGAAAATTCCTCTTGTTTATTTACAAATGTTAATGGTTTTATTTGTTTGTACAAAATTTTATAATATTATGGATATTTACCATTCTGTTCGTCTGTTGAAAGTAATAATTGATGACAATTCGGACAGCTTGGGTGTTCTTTAATCTATTTGATTATATATTTGATATGGAATTTATGGTTACATTTTTTGAAGCGAAATATATTTGCTGGAGGGTTATAACAAATCGAGCAGATATCTTCAGATGACATTCTTTTTGTAAAAAAAAAATCACAGCATGTTTGGGCTTGTTAAATATATATTCGTTAACAATGTCACAGTAAATTGTACGAAATTATCCCTTAATCTATAGAGTTTTTTAAAAAATTTATAATAGTTTTAGATATATATAATATTATACAAATTTTTATTCATTATTTATTTAGTAAAAATTAAAGTTTGCTTATAAGCAGGGCTTAAACAACTGTAGTAATTTCCGGTCATTTACTGTGCTATTGCTATTGTCTAAAGTGTCTTTTTTGATTCATCAAAATTAGTATATCTAAACTTACACATGGCCGGCAATTTACTATGGTTGTTTAAGCACTGCTTATAAGTAAAAATAGGGGTCCCTACTTAGATAAATGTTTTAGAACTTTAAAGAATTACAACTTTTGTATTGTATTTTGTATTCCAAGCATTATTATTATCAATTTATCCATCTTTTATCCCGGATTAGTGATGGGACTTTTTTATTAATAATTACAAATTTTTAACGATTAAAAATTAAAAATTGGGCCTTTTCAAAGTGAATCTACTAGTAAATTCACTTTGAAAAGGCCCACTATATCTGATGGATCATCTCTAAATGGAAACCCATAGCAAAAAGAAGTAACGAACTAATGAAAGAAGTATTAAAGTCTAATGCGATTTACTATTAAATTTAGTGGTCACATCTCTATTAAATATTATTTTAAAAAACCATATCAGTTGCATTTAGGCGAAAAAAAAACCATATCGTTGTCGTTCACTTCAACGATAGTCATTTCATAACAAGGTAGGTTAGCATTTTTGCAGGTACGTACTTGGCATGATGTTGGTTAAATGAGCTGTCAGTAAAATAATTGTCGATGAATTAATGCGGATCTCTTAATAACTGTCTATCGCTATTTAAATTTATGAAAATTTTCTTATTTTAATTCTACGGATTCATAGAAATAAAAATTCTGAAGTGCTACCTCAAAAAATTTGATTTTTTGATACTACAATTTTTTTTTTTTGTCGCCCGCCCTGGATGATTCAGTGTTTTTTCTTAAAAACTAATAATTCAATGATGATTGGATAAAGT